TTTTCCGTATTGTGGTGATTTGTGAGGCGCAGGTGAGTCTGCGTTTGTTTGTTTGAGTTATTGATCCTCTAGATATTTTCACCGCTGACCTGCAGCTGAACGTCTGTTTGCCTCGAGTCCTGCAGCCTGAAGCAGTCTGACCGTTCGAACGAGGCCTTTGCTTTGTTTGACTTTAGACCGAGCAGAGATGCGTGAAATATAAAGTTAATCATCTGCAGCATAATTTTAGGATGGAATGATTTACTTCATGTCTTATGAAACATCAGGATGTTTGAAGCGACTCCAGAGCCTTTGGCTGCAAACACAAACTGTGTGCAGATATTTGGAAGCCATTTTGAGTTGTTTTTAGGGTTTATAAAATAGTTTCTCTTGATTAAAAGTAAAAACAAACATAAAAACTTTGTGATTTTAATAATATGTGCATGAGAGGGTTTAAAAGCAGCTTCTCTGCTGCTCAGGAAACAAACCTCTAACCAGGCCTGATTTGTTGAATCCTAGCTGGTTTGTGTTCATGCTGTTTTGGAGCCGGTGCTTCTCCCAGCATGCACCTGGTGTTCCTGGTCAGCTTGTAGTTCCTTACATGGAGATTTAACTCCAGCAGGTCTCTGATGTAGAGTCTGTGGGTTGGGTTTGAATTCCTAACTTTTATCTCTTCTGCTCTGCATTTCTGGAGCAAGTTGTCCTTTTACAGCCGGGTTATGATAAACTCCTGCTGCTCCTCCTGCTCCTCCTCCTCCTCCTGCCATAATCCTCACTAGAAAAGTAATTTCTTCCTGATAACAGACGGCCTTTCACACACACATACACGCCTCTGTCTGCCGTGGTTGAGCTCTGAACATCATGCAGTGTCACCGCCCTAAATTCAGTCATATTTGCAGATTAATGATGTTTAAGGACAAACCTACTTTATCAGCGTCACTCAGTTCATGTGCAACATGTTGAGGGAAAGCATCAAGGGAGTTTTGTAATTTGTTGTCGTAAAGGTCATAAATCTGTCATGTTTTGGTACCCAAGTCTAATAATAGTGTGTATAAATATAAGGCGGTGGAAAACTAGACATCTAATTTAGATTTAACATTGAAATTAACTACATCACACACAGATTGTTTTAATCAGCTGCAGATTATTTCAAATACTAAAAATATTTTTTCCTAACTAACCAACTGTGAGGTTATTTTTCTTTGTAAGAAATAAAATGGAACAGTGCCGACGCACATGTTGTTGGTAACGCTTTACTTAAGTGTTTCTACTTTTTTCCCAGAAAAGTTGGTTTGCGTTTATTCTCAGAGGAATCGGCTTAAAAGAACGGCTCCATTTAAACTTGAGTAAACATGTTGTTTTATTTGGAAACTAAATAGTGAACTGTATACTTGCCTGTAGACATAGTTTGCAAGTCCGTTTGACCTGCTGCGCACCGACTAAAATACGTTTAAGTTACACTAGCAGTTAATTTCACCACAGGAAGGTTATGATTTCAGTTACATATCATTTAATTTGAAGAACATTACAGTGAAATACTGTAACCACAAAAAGAGCACTGACCTCAGCCGTGGTGGACAAATTATTCAGATCCTTTTACTTAAGTAAAATTACTAATACCTTTTTATTGTAAAAAATACTGATACCAGTAAAAGTACTGCATTGAAAATGTTTCTAAATTATGTAAGTATAATCAGGAAAATTTGTATTAATAGTTCTGAATTTGTATCAATGTTCTGCCTGTTACACTATTACACATTATATTGCTGCTGCAGCTCATTCTGAACTGCAGCTTTTCAGTCTGGATCAACCTGCTGAGCCCAAAGTGTTTGTTCGGTCCAAACCTCAACTTTATTAACAAACATCACAGTTTTTGAAATGATGAAAAGCAGCTTTAGTATAAATCAGCTGTCCGTCAGAGGGTCGGAGCTGCGCATGTCCGTCTCTCCGCCTCCCTCTCCGCGCGGACCCGCCGTGCTGCTGCTGCTGCTGCTGCTTAGCGGAGGTTCAAGATGGACGCCAAACGGGGTTAGTGCGGCCATAATCTTCTGTTTACCGACAGCATCTCTGCTCTTTTGCATAACTCATTTCACTACGGTCGTGTTCCGTTTATGGCTGGTGAGGGATTTGCATGAGCAGCGGGACTGTGGCTGGGTTCAGCCCGGGGAGGGTCGGAGGAGGACCGGGCCGCATGCTGAGGTCGTGTCGGACGTTTTGTCCCCGCGCTGAGGACGGGGCTGCCGGCGGGGGCTGTCTCACGGTATCCCCGGGAGTATAATGAAATGCTTCGGGAGACGGATCATGTTGTTGAGAGGGGCCGGTGATTAAACATAGCGAGCAATGAAACGAGATCAGCGGCCGGGGTTTAGCTCGCTGTGATGCGGGCTCTATTTTTAGCTCCCGCGGTGCTAGCACGCTGCTACCATATGTAGCCAGGTCCCCGCATTTGGACCGCGGGCCCTCCTCCCTCACCACCTCCCTTTTATGTCAGCTGCCTGGCCGGTGTCTTTACATTCAGACAATGTGTCTCTGTTAAAACAATCCGCTGTTAACGTGCTGCTGCTAACACGGAGTTAGCATGCTGAGCTAGCTGTCAGCTAACCAGCGCAGGGGACAAGCTAGCTGTCACCGCCCACACAGGCTCTCTGCTCTGCTCAACAAGCAAGAAGCTTCCCGAAAATGAACCAGCCGCGTTGTTTCTAATGGATTTGTGTGTGACTGACCTTCAGCCACCAGCTGACTCAGTCTTTTAAACTGGTTTTAAACCCCCTCAAACCCACCGTCTGTGTAGCTGCTGTCATTATGTAACAGCACCGGAGCTATTGTTCAAATAAGTTCAGTATAATCGATTACAGTTCAATTAATTAACTGCAGAGTGGTTATAAAGCACCAGAGGTCCAGTTACAGATTTTATTTTACTATAGTTGACTTTACTGCTGGTTGTTAGTGTTATTTACCAAGACAAACATCAACAGACCAAGAATTCTTTAGGGGAGAAACTAACAATACGTGTAATTAGAGATTTAATCTTTCCAAATGGAAAATCAATGGCAAAGGTGCCCATTACATTTAACCCAAACACAAAGGTAAGGTCTTCAGTTAAACTCTCCTGCCAAAGCAGAAACATCAGACACATGCTTGCTTTTCTCTGCTATTATCCATTTCTTGATCAACTTGATCAGTTCAGCATAGATCTTTAAATAAGCAGCCCACGTCTGCAGAATGAGCGTGTTTTTATGTGTTTATGTCCTGCAGTCGGTCGTCTGGCTTGTTGTTGTTGGAAATCTGGTTTGGTTTGTCAGCCTCATAAGCTCATTAATTGGCTGTTTTCAGGAAAACTTTGGTCGGCTGCCAAAACACATTGTGGCTGTCCAGTCAGCAGCATGGCCGCCCTCGCTCACAGCACCTGCCTTTGTCTCTGGGACCAGAACTCACTTTGCATTTTAATGCTGCTTTGCTTATCACACTTTATCTGAGGGTGTATGTTAGACCGTGAGACTTTGGTGGCGTGGCTCATCCTGTACTCTCTGAATTTAAATCTTAATTATCGCGGCTCTGTAGCTGTGTAGAAATATTAAACTGTCAGATTCCAGCGTGCAGTTTTACACGACGTGCTCGCGTCGCTGAGAGCCGGAAAGTACAGCATGTGTCGGCTGTGAGCGACGTCAGCGAGCCGGCAGGGCCTGCAGGAAACCTACGACACCTTCGCTTCTAATATTGTCCACTGACCTGCCTGGAATTCCCTGCTGTAATATAAGCGTGCCCAGCAGTGCAGGACCCGGGTCGTGATCTCAGCTGTCCTCCAGGAGAGTCCGACCCCCCCATCCACCAACTCCTCTCGTCTATCTGGGTCCAGACGCCGAAGGAGCTTTGACCCACAGAACCTGCAGTTTAACTGATTAACTCTGAGCTCGAGCTGCAGTGATTATTTGATTACATGCCGGAACTATTTCGGATCATTATAGAGTAATTTTTAAGAGATAAAAGTAAGGATGAACAATTAATCAGTTAAATGAAATCTTGCCGAGCTGCAGAGACGTCCAGGCCTACACGTCCTATTCCAGACTGAAGAAAACATCTTTGTTTGGTACAGATCCCTGCAAAACATCACACCATGATCGTTTAAATGCGGTGCTACCACTGTGCTGTCTGTCCATTCAACATGGGACTTTCTTTATTTAGATATCATGGATGGATAATATAGGACTGCAGCTAATTTTTATAATCAATCTGCAGATACTTTTAGCATTTATGTCAGAAAAATGCCATCAGATGTCTTGTTTGTCTGATTAACAGATATAGTTGCAGGTTAACTTTCTGTAAGTTGCTCTGGAGAGTTTGGTGCAGCAGGTGTCTGTAACGCTGTCAAGCTGGAAGTATGATGTGATAAACGTTTGTTGTTGTTCTCTGCTCTGTTTGTTAGCTGCCGCTTTGTTCACCATGAGAAACCTGGCAAGCAGGAAGCAGGGGGAGGGAGGTGTTTCATAACATCACTCGGACATTTGGGGATTTTTTGGGGGCACTTTTTTACAATAAAACAATGCAAGTCATGGCTGATGATTCCAATATGGCTGCCGGAGCTGCTGTTATGCAACTTGGATGTGGTTAATTGTGGCGTCGGGTTGAAAAGTGGATGAATAAGTCTGAGTCAGGAGCTGCAGTGAGTTTCCTCCTGCAGGGTTTTTATGTCTCTGGATTAGTCGTGACCTCTGACCCCCAGCGGCCACATGCACCAGCTACGACTTTCCGCTGCCTTTGGGAGTAAAGACAAAATGAATCAGCGTGTCTCATGATTTCTGATCTCACCGTGCATTCGGGAGAAGCTCGTTCACTGATAACGGCGTGTTGAAGACGCCCTCCGGTCACATTTCCAGCATAAATAAATACAATTATAATTAAAACTAAATCAGTTTCTTTTAAAAACCGACTCCTTTTTCAGAGAACTAAATATTAAAGCATATTAAATGCTCAGTCCCGTCTCTCTGGGTGATGGACACTAACCAGCGCTCTTTCTCCTGCAGTGGTGGATCTCCTCTACTGGCGTGATGTGAAGACCACGGGCGTGGTGTTCGGCGCCGCCCTGCTGCTGCTGCTCTCCCTGATGGCGTGCAGCATCGTGAGCGTGTGCTCCTACATCGGCCTGGCTCTGCTCTCAGTCACCATCTGCTTCAGGATATACAAAGGCATCCTGCAGGCCATCCAGAAGTCAGATGAGGGACACCCGTTCAAGTGAGTACCAGCAGAGAGAGAGAACGAGGCGTTTAGGTAACACCGCCCACGGCATCGCTTCATCTTCACAAACGTCTGCTGTTCGTATCACAGTTAATATGCCAGCTCTAAAGTAATAATGCCATTAATCAGACAGCAGATCTGCTCCAACAGCATCACTGGACGGTGATAAATATATTTATACTGTAGAGAGAATAATGCGGCTGAAAGACGTCACCGCTCTCCCTTAAACAGCAGCAGTGCCCTGAAATCTGCAGCAGAACCCAAAGTATGTTTCTGTCTCATCTATCCATCTCTATCTGTCTAGTCGACCTGCTCTCTAAATAGTATTAATAGTTTTCTTTTTAAGACACGTGGCAACTTGAACGAGTATAAAAACACGAGGGAGGCAGGGCAACGTTTAGAGGCTGACTCGGCTCATTACGAGTTAAACTCGACCAGCGACATGTTTAATCCAAGTTACCAGAATAGATTTTTTTTTAAATGTTGAATTTTGAATCTAAAATGACTTTCAGCTCACAGTGAAAAGCTCCGACGTCACGTGGAAACTCGGCGGCTCGTTCTCTCTCCGATGCTTTTTTGTTTGTTTGTTGCTTCATCCTCCTTCCTGGCTGCTGGACTAAACCTTCTTACTGTGTTTTCACCTGCCGCTCTGCAGTCTGACCTCACGGCACACCGGAGGCCACTTAGCTCAGATTAACGTAAGCTGGGAAAAGTGAGCTCAGAGTCACTTCACGAGGTGGTTTCTACACAATGTAGGATTTTAAACCTCACTGAGGGGAATGAAGGCGTCGATTCCACCTTATTTCAGTGTTCGCTCGCTCTTTTCCCTTCAGTCATGTTTTCCCCACGCGCACACACCCTCACCTCTGACCTCTTACTGCTGGCCCCGCCTCTCCTCCCTCCCTCCCTCCCTGTATGCGGCGGCCCACTGAACTGAAGTCTATATGTGGGGAAACACGGGAAGTCTCGGCCTCATCGTCGTCCTCACCTCTGTTTAACCCGCTCCTCTGCTGTCCCCTCAGGCAGTACCTGGACCAGGAGGTGGCGCTGTCTGAGGAACTGGTCCACAAGTACAGCGACATGTTTCTGGCCAGACTCAACAAGACCATCTGTGAATTACGGCGCCTGTTCCTGGTCGAGGACCTGGTCGACTCCATCAAGGTGAGAAGAAATGATCATTAATCCAGAGAAAACGGGTCTTAAACAGAGTGAACCTCTGTTCCAACAGGTTTATTCAGTGACAGCTGAATAAATGAGTGTAGAAATGTTTAAACTGATCGTGAGGAGCTGCTGCTTCTGTACAGGAAGAATCCCTAAATGTTCTGGGGACGATTAAAGAAGTCACATTCATTATTTTACGGGCTGTAGAGCTCCTTTACATACCGACGTGTCGGACGGCGCTCTACCAGCATGTGGACAAGCTGCTGGTTGCCGTCCATGTTTGTTTTGTTCCGAGAACTCATGACGGTTGGCGTTCTTGCTGAATATGCGGGTCGTCTACCTGCAGGGATCATGTGGATCCCGAGCAGAGGTTCGGGTTCCTGCTGCCTCCTGGCTTTGTGTTTGTAGGGTTCAGCTGGTTCCTACTGACGTCCTGTCAGTCATGTGTTGGTGAAGGATGAGCAGCAGGTCTGTAGGTCAGCGTTCAGTCCAGTTTCACTGAGCGCTCTGCAGCTGTCTGAGGCCTGTCGTCACCTCCCTGCAGGCCAAATACAGAGAGGTTCATCAGAGAGAGGCGCAGCTCCAGAGACTCCCTAACAGGGTAAAAAAGACAGATTCTCAGGAGCAACTTTGAGCCTCAGGAATGTTTTTCTCCCTGTGGATTACACTGTGCCCAGGTGCATTGTGGGACATTGTTCTTCTCCCTGTTCCCCCCCTCGCTGTGCCAGCGGTGGATATTTACAGCACAGCCAGCACATTTAATCTGCCTCAGCAGCCTCCAGTCAGAAATCTAACACTTGGGTTTCTTTTCGCTGGCGGCCATGTTGGCTCCGGCTTTAACGTGTTCATCATTAACACGTCGTATCACAGCATCGTGTTAAAGCAGCCTCAGGGTGCTGATTGGTTTAAACCCTCGGAAACAGCTGAAGAAACGCGTCTAAATACTGACCTGGATTCAGGTGTCAGTTCTGAAGACGCAAACATTTTATTACAACTTGTTTTCATAATGTCGTCCCTTCAGCTATAGCAACATTTCACTGAACAAGGTGACATCACTAAAAAGTCCCACGTCGTAGTAGTAGTCCGAAAATTATTATTCATAGACAGAAAATGAATTGCCGCCAAGTTCTGATGATTGATTCCTGGTTTAATGCGTCCAAATGTTTTCTGGTTCCAGCTTCTCGAATGTCGGTCGGACAAATTGAGACGTCACAAGACGTCAAATCTTTGAGCTTTTAAAACCAAAATGATTTGATGGAAATTCTTATTTTCAGCTGTAAATCTCTCACATCGACGTTCCCAGATCTGAACTGCTCATAAAGAGAGAAACAGATTCAGCCTGATTTGGTCCATCTGGTCAGTAGGACGAAGTATTCAGATCCTCGACTGAAGGAAAAGTACTAATACCTCACTGTAAAAGTACAGCAATGAAAATTGTGAAATATGTGAATATCATCCTAAAAATGTACTTGAAGTAAGTAAAAGTGTTCAATGCAACAAGAAAAATGTGCCTGTTGTGCTAAAATATCTCCTTTAATTTATAACTAAAATCTGACTTTGTAAAGTACCTGAAGCTGTCAGATAAATGTAGTGAAGTAAAAAGTACAACATCTCCCTCTGAGATGAAGTAGGTAAAGTACAGGTACCTCTAATGTATACGCAAGTACAGTACTTGAATAAATGTACTTCCTGATCAGTGTTTAGATTTAAAGGTCGACTCTGCAGAACAGCTGAGACTTTATTGATCCCTCAGAGAAACTTTATTGATCCAGAACTGCTCCTCTCTCATTAAAAGGGTCGTTGCTACGGGAACGAACTGTGTTCTGTTCAACAGCATTGATAAGTTGCTTATTGAAGACTGCAGCTGATTGTTTGTTTGTAGCCGTTGACTTTATGTTTTTCCTCTGTGCAGTTCGCGGTGCTGATGTGGATCCTAACCTACGTCGGCGCCTTGTTCAACGGGCTCACGCTGCTTATTCTGGGTGAGGAAACGCGTGTGGACGTGAAGCCTCCCATCATGCTTAGAGGCTGTGATTGATGCTCTGCTGTGAAGTGACCAGTTTATTTAAAGCTGCTGTGTGGGGGATGTTACTGTGGCTCCCCCTGCTGGAGATTTCAAGAATACAGAAAGCAGCACATCGACTGTCTGATTCTCCTGCACACGATGACAAATATTAATTATTGTAATTTTATCATAACAAGAAGCAGCAAGCTTTTAACTTCTGCTCACATCCTTTTCTTCTTGGTCTTCTCCAGGTCTGGTTGGAGTGTTCAGCTGCCCGATCATCTACGAGAAACACCAGGTAGGAACATCGGATCAAAGGAAGTGCTCAGAGACCGGAGATCAGCAGACATGTTCTGTTTTAAAGAACATCCTTTCTGCTGCTCTGTGCGTCTGTAATGGGACCAGCTGAAGGGGGGACTGGGATTTTACTCGTTCTGGTCTTTTGCTGAATGTGTGGAGTTTGAGACGCTGGCTGTCGGTGATCCTGACGTGTTTCTGTGTTTCAGGCTCAGATCGACCACTACCTGGCGCTGGTCAACAACCAGGTCAAAGACGTCGTTGGAAAGTAAGTCAGCGGCTTCATCACTGGATCTGCTTTTGTCCTTCGTTCACATCAAGACAGCCAAATATGTTAAGCCGTTATGGCGTGATAAAAACGTGATGGAGTAACCTGCTCAGTGTGGGGAGCTCTTCAGTACAGCTGATCACATGATCCAACTGTTTCTGTTGACATGACTAGAAGTTTAAACGACGACAGATGACGAACCTGTGAACAGTTTTACCTGCAGTTAGTTTGCTTTCACAAAGTTCCCTCTGCAGCCTCATCACTCTGCATCTCTGTCTGTCTTTGAATCATTGATCGTGTTTATCTTCCTGTCTCCTGCAGGATCCAGGCGAAGGTGCCCGGGATGAAACGCAAGACGGAGTAAAGTCACGTGAAGTCTGGATTCAGGGAGTCCTGAGAGGAAGGAGGGTTGGAGGGTTTGAGTGAGGGCGTATGAAGGAAGGCTGGAGGAGGGGAGGAGGGGTCTGGCGTGGACGCAGCCCTTCTAACTTTATTTGTCAAAATAATAAAACACTTTTTTTTTTCCAGTTCAGAATCTTTTTTGTTGTTGTTGTTGGTTTTTTGAAGCCGGTCGGCGTTGAGCGTAGGTTCACGACACCGAGGTCGGCTTCACGACTCTTTACGTTTAATCAAGCCTTGAAATGTTTGTTTCTGAGAGACGCTGAAACTCACAGAAACACATTTTAACCTTGGATTAACCCTCCCTCTCCCCCACCCAGTGCATTGTGGGAGGGCCGATGCTCCCTCAGTCTGGCGCCGGGTGGTTTTTTTTAGTTATTGAGTTTTTCCTTTCGCCGCCGAGCCGAGAGATTCTCTTCCTTCGTCTGCTGTTTTTAGAGAAAAAGACGAGCGAGCGGCGATCCTCATTTGTATTTTTTCTTATTTTGGTATGAGTTAGAAGTATTTTGTGATTTCACTGTTTAACTGTCCCTCAAGCTTCGAGCTCGTTTCCTCGGTAACGTGCGGTGTGGTTTCGCCTCGATGTGACGAACGACGATTTTGCGAATGACGTCTTTGACTCCTGACGAGGCAGCGAGGGGGAAGGGAGGGGGGAGGGGGCTTGTACTACCATTTAAAAATACTTCATCGCTTCTGAGTAACTAGCTAGAAACATCTAGAAAAACCTTTGCCAGACGAATAAAACACATTAATTACATGAAAGTCGTTATGTCCGTGTCATTGCAGCTGTCTAGTAACGAACATCTCCGGAAGAAAACACGTTTACATTCATCCACATCGGATAAAAATAAAAAGGAACAAAAAAAAATGAAATGGGATTTAAAGAAAAAAATAAATAACCATACTGTCTGTGGAGCCGATATCTTAATGAAGTTGCAACTTGATGTGACTTTGGGAAACTTTAGAGCATTTGTTTGTTTATGCAAGTATAATTGTGAATGATAAAACTTCATACTTCAATTGTGACGATTAAAAAGCTTCCAGCTGGGAGCCGTGTTTGTGGAATGCATTGTGAGATGTAAACAATTATCAATAAAGCTTCTAGACGAAGAAAGTCCCGCCTCCTCATCTGTCTGTCAACAGTCCGAACTCCTCACATGGTCAAGACCCGTTAGCGTCAGTTTGTGACGCTCTGGGAAACGTTTATATTACGCTAACAGGTTTAAGATGTTAATAACAGAAAGGTCAGAGTGAGGAGGAGGTTAGGCTGGATCGTGGGTCAGAAACCGGACTTTCACCCAGGAGACCAGGGTCCGTTTCTGTGTGAAACAAAAAGTCAACATTGATTGTTTTTACTTAAGGCATGTAAGTTACACAACTTACAAAAGATACATTTTTTATCATAAATTACAATATTTTTCATAAATCTGACCCCAGGAGGTTCTGGTGCCTCAACCTGACCCCAGGTTTTTTTTTGGTGCCTCAACCTGACCCCAGGTGGGTTCGGTGCCTAAAACTAATCAAATTGTGGTGTTTTAACCACTACTTTTATTTTGAAAGTCTCACTGAGAAAGAATATTTTATCGTTTTTAAATAGCCGGCTACTTGAAATAGTAGCTGGAAACTTGCAATGTAAGTTGAATGAAGCTCTGCTGCTTCTCAAGATTAAAGCGGCGCTACCGTGTGTCACCTCCTGAACCTGAACTGGTTCCACAGGAGAGGAGCTTAATAGCTGAACGCTCTGGCTCCCATTCTACTGGAAGCCACCAGAGTTCAAGTCCGGCGTTGAGCCCAACCCAAACGAACCGCACCATGAGGATAAACGCTCCAGGGTCCGGTTCAACTGGACTTAACAAGGCTGGTGAACGCACCCTGAAACAGCTATAAGGGATCGTCCCCTATAAAGAAAAAAATTCTGAATAGATTTTCGGCCTCAAACGCTGTTCCACCTCATTCCCACAACTGTCAACAACAGCTTGGCCTTCTTGGACTGTAACATACAGACTGAAGAGGCAGGAGCCTCCACCCTGGAGTATACAGGTTAGTCTTTGGCTCTCTCCAGCCTCTGGAGCGTCAGCTGGGGGCCATCAGAACCCTGCACCACTGAGCTGATAACATACCAACAAGTGCCCAAGAGAAAGAGCATAAACACCCAAAGGGTGAACGTTTGTGAAAACAGCTCCAAGATCCAGGAAGAACACCGGGGACGAGGAAAAGAAGAGTAAACCCAACAGCATTGATCCCATAGGTGTCTGGAGTATCAGAAAAACCCACATCCTGGTGTTTTTTTAAATACAAGTACACGCTAAGACAGGGCGGCACGGTAGTCCAGTGGAAAGCGCTGTGACCTCACAGCAAGAAGGTTGTGGGTTCAAACCGGCCTCTCTGTGTGGAGTTTACATGTTCTCCACGTGTCTGCATGTGTTCTCTCCGTGGTGCTCCGGCTTCCTCCCGCCATCCAAAGACATGCGGACTGGGTTAATTGGTGACCCTAAATTAGGTGTGAGTGTGACTGGTTGTTTGTCTATGTGTGGCCCTGCGATGTCCTGCCTTTCGCCCGATGTCAGCTGGTCTGCTCACTTCCTCTGCTTGCTTTCATGGCAGTGTGCTGACAGTCAGAGCTCCCCCTGCAGTCCATAAAGCGCCTCAGCCGTTCCAAACCCTCAACGCAGCCATCCCCAAATTCCCAATCCTAAATGGCTAAATCATTTTCGACTTTGACTTTTAGTTTCTCATTTTGGCTTTTAGTTTTAAATCTGACCCAATAATCCCTCCATATAAAGGACAACAATGTACATATTCTGGACAGGGAGGACAGGTGGTTTGAAAGAGGAATGAAAGACGCCATTTGGGTAAAGATACCATCTCTAAACAGCACCTGAGGCCAAACGCTCACATTTGGCCTCAGGTGACTCGAACAACCACAACAACTGTTAGAACAGCCAGGAGCCCAGACGACCCAAGTGATATACATCAAAAACTTGTTTCAGGCCTGCTGGCTTTATCACATTTTGTCTGAATATGTAAAGTAATTTCCAGGAACACACGTCATGTTTTCAGAAAGATTTAGTTCATTGCAGACTGTGTGGATGCAGAGAAAAAACAGACCGGTGAATGTAAATGAACATGCAAACTGTGACAATCTGTCTCCTTTAAACCATCTTGGCTGAGGGATGTGAGCTTAGTCATGTCTGAGTTGTTGGACATTGTTAATGTGTCGACACCATTTGCTGAATTGCAAATATTTCAAAACTTGCTTGCTTAATAAGAAATAAAACAATCGGCTCTCGAGCTGTAAACATTGTTGTTTTATACACAGGTAACAGGTGTGACAGCAGAATGGATAATAAAAATAAACATGAAATCTAAACAAACAGCAAAATAGCTTTAACCTGGATTGATACATGAGCTTGTAAAATGTATCGATGTATTTATGGCTGCTTTCATTTTTTTAGAAACAGGTTTGCATGCAAACCTGGAGGTGTACAGCATACTGCGGTTAAACCAGTTACGTTTCACACAATCTGCTTCTCTTCCTTTCTTCAATGCAGTTCTGACATGTAAGAAATATAAATATTTTATTGACAATAACAAAGAGAATAAAAGCAATCATAGAAGATAGAATATTTGGAATAAAGAACATGAGGTAAAGAAGGAAGGTGAAATCTGTAGATCTAGAAAATGCTTCCTACTTTACATCTTTGTACTTTATTTTGTATTTCCATAATAATTTGCTGTTTTTGCTGATTAAACATTAATGCTTGCATAATCCGATGTTCCTATTTCTCCAGTAAATGATGACAGCTGAGATATGAAAGAGAGTTTGGTGTGTTGTGTCAATATGATTATTTAAAAAATCAGAATGAGGTTTATTGTCAGGTGCATTTTCACATATGATGAATTTGCCTAATATATATAATATAAATAATATTGCCTTGATATGTTGGTATATAAATATAGATAAAGGCAAGAGCATATGAGAAATAATACAGCATAAATTAATTAGTGCAATGGACACAGATCAAAGTTGAGCATTGTTGGAACGTGTTGGGTCAGGTGTTTGGGGGGCAGTGACAGTGGGGACCTGGTGAGAAGGCCCACTGCAGTCAGAAAGAAAGTGTTCTTGTGGTGCGAGGTTTTGGTCCTGATGGACTGCAGGAGGAGTGTCTGAAACAGTTTGTGTCCAGGTTGGGAGGAGTCCGCCACAATCTTTTCTGGTCCCTGGCGGTGGCAGCAGCGTGCCAGATGGTGATGGAGGAGGAGAGGATGGACTCAGTGATGGGGGTGTAGAAGTGCACCATCATTGTCTTTGGCAGGCTGAACTTCTTCAGCTGCCGCAGGAAGTACATCCTCTGCTGGGCCTTCTTGGTGAGGGAGGTGATGTTCAGCTCCCACCTGAGGTCCTGGGAGATGATGGTGCCCAGGAAGCGGAAGGAGTCACACAGGATGATGGGGGAGGGTGGGGCTGGGCTCTTTCTGAAGTCCGAGACCATCTCCACTGTCTTCAGAGCGTTGAGCTCCAGACTGTTCTGGTTGCACTCGGTCACCAGATGGTCGATCTCCCACCTGTACGCGGACTCATCCCCACCTGAGATGAGCCCAATGAGGGTGGTGTCATCTGCAAACTTCAGGAGCTTGACAGACTGGTGACTGGAGATGCAGCTGTTGGTGTACAGGGAGAAGAGAAGGGGGAAGAACGCAGCCTTGAGGGGAACCTTGAGGGGAACCGGAGCTGATTGTCCTGGAGTCAGAGACATGTTTTCCCAGCTTCACGTGCTGCTTCCTGTCCGTCAAGAAGTCTATGATCCACCTGCAGGTGGAGTCAGGCACGTTCAGCTGGGAGAGCTTGTCCTGCAGCAGGGTCGGTATGATGGTGTTGAAAGCAGACCTGAAGTCCACAAACAAGATCCTGGCGTAGGTTCCTGGGGAGTCCAGGTGCTGGAGGATGTAGTGAAGGGCCATGTTTACTGCATCATCTACAGACCTGTTGGCTCTGTAGGCGAACTGCAGGGGGTCCTGGAGAGGGTCTGTGATGGATTTAAGGTGGGACAACACAAGACGTTCAAAGACTGGTTCAACTCATAGGGGGGCTTTAGGTTTGTAATTGGTGATCTGTCTGAAGCCTCTCCAATCAGAAGCAGAGTCGTTTCTTTTAGAATTGGTGTTGTAGTCTCTCTGGGTACAGAGTATCAGTAAACTCATCCAGATTGTTGGTAGCAGTCCTGACAACATCCCAGTCAGTGCAGTCCAAACATGCCTGAAGGTCCTCCACAGCTTCACTGGTCCATTTCTTTGATGTCCTCACTGCAGGTTTACAGAGCTTTAGTTTCTGTCTGTATGCAGGAATCAGGTGGACCATGACATGGTCAGAGTGACCCAGTTCAGCGTGGGGGACGGCGTGATAGGCACTGCTAACTGTAGTGTAGCAGCGGTCCAAAGTGTTCTCCTCTCATTTTATAAAGTGTCTGTATTTGGGGAGTTCTTGGCTGAGATTTCCCCTGTTAAAATCACCAAGAATGATAACATCATTACACCAGCCACAGTTACTGTAGAAACAGACATCCACCTTTTGTTTTGCTGGAGAACTCTGTGTCTCCCAGAGGGAAAGACGTGTTTAACCAAAGAGAAGTCGTAGACAGTTAATGATCCCTCCTGTAAAGGCTGTGTAGGTGCACAGAGTCTAAATGCATTTAAGCATTTATCTGGATGTTTGGAGTGAAAGAAGAGACTCAGTGTTTCTCAGTCACTGCTTGAACATAGTGACATTTCAGTTCACCAAGCTGTATGTTTGTGTTGTTAGACAGAGTGAATGTGTCGGCCTGCAGTTTCTCCTGATCCATTTTCATGCTAAAATGGTGGTTAACAGTTCACCTTTATGTTAAAATGTTGTCTCAATAAGTGTGAAGGCAGCAGAGTGCAGATTCTGCAAATGAAGATAAAATATTCAGATGGTTCAACAGTTGGATTCATCAGACAGACAAGCCTCCACCTCCAAAGGGACATTAAACAGGTGGAGCAAAGAGTGCAGAAGACAGCACAGCGTCCCAGAACAAAGCTCCTGTACCTCAAGTCACTGAAGGATCTGGATCCAAACCTGATTCAGTGGCTGCAGTAAGTAGCTCACATCAGCACCAAAGAACCTCCTCTGTGTCATCAGGGAGCCGTTTATGAAATATAATAAGCATCGCTATTAAGACAGATTTTAAAAGTTTGATTAGATTTTTTAAATCCTGATTTCTCAGGAAGAGAAATAAGTAAAAGCAGAAGAAAACATCAGCAGGTGTGTCAGCACTGTGGCCAGTTATTGTGAGCGGCTCACATGCACATTTCCCAGTCAAATAATGTTGAGGAGTGTGACGGTTCTTTTTCCTGCTGATGTTCTCTATGTGTTCACTATTTCTGTGATGCATCATTTCCATATTCACGTCACTCCTTTTCCTTAGAAGAGCAGCTGTAGATCATCATCAGCCTGCTGCTTGTTATCACTTCCCATATTTGAGGTTTGGATGCAGAGGACAAACATCGGCCACTGGTGTAGGAACTTATTCAGGTGGGTCTCTCAGCTTTTAAAGGTAAATTTGATCAGATTACTTTTTTCTTCTATGTAGAGCGTATTAAACAGATAAATGAACATGCAAACTGCAACAAGCAGACAGCTTTAGACTGTAGGTGGACAGGATACTGAGGTTAAATCAGTTAGGTTTTATTTCCTTTGGGGTATTTTCACTCTCTTTCCTTAAAACACTTAAAGGTAAAAACATACAATAAAGAAAGTGTTTTAAATTAATTAAACTCAGCAAGCTCAAAAATGAGCACGAGTATAATCATCCCTGCTGTGCTGTGAAAAATGACCAGCACATTATAGTTGAATGTAAATCCATTTCAATTCATATATCATGTAGTGTACTGTAGAACTTTTAATCATCCGTAGTTCTTGTGCACATTAAATTACATTTACTCATTTGGCAGATGCTTTTATACAAAGGGACTTACATTTGAGGAACAACATACAAGCATCAAATACAGCATGAGATCTACAACTGACAATACATACTAGTAAGAGCTAATGGCACATATCACATCAATACTTCCGCATTATATGCCCCTCTTCTTGCAACGCCAACATCAGCGTTTGCTGTCCGCAGTACCCACCTCTGTGCCGTGGGAGGATTCCCCTTCTCCGGGCCGTACATCTGTCTTCCTCCGTTACCCGATCAGCCTCATTCTCCCTGCTGTCCTGCTTCTCTTTGATATCTGAGTTGCCTCGCTGCGATAGTTAAATTGCCTCCTATCTGAGTCGTCTCTCTGTGATATCTAAAATGTCTTAGTCTTTGGTCAACCTTAGTTTATAATTCCTGGGGTGAAACTCACCATGTGATGTAGTTGTAGCTAACACTAATAACAAATAGTGCCAGCGCGAACAGATTATCAGATAATTATTAAAATCACATCCTAATAATCTTTGACCATTCTTCCACTCGGTGTTGCCACATTTTGGCTTAGTCGGCAGGATATACTTCTTTAGGAGGGTTAAATAATATTTTTGGGAGGAGACGGTGTTCTATTCATATCTGTGTGTATATATAGGATATATATTTTTGTAAATGTATTTTTTTGTATTATATGGGTTTGGTTTTATTTTGAGAGGCAGGTCAGTGGGTTGGTGCTTCAGTGGGTGCACAGTAAGTCTCGAGTTCTCTGCTTGTGTTGGTCCACCCTTTTGCTGTAGAGCCTCTGTCAGTAAGCTGCAGCCATGAGTTTTGTTGGGGGGTAAATGTCGCAGCAGGAGCAGAGTAATGCACCTGGCCCCAGTACTGTGTCTGCCACGCTAACGCCATCTAGAGGCTCATCCGCTTTGAGTGCCCCTACTGCTAGCACCACTGTAATTGGGAGGCTGATTTATGTGTCCCAGGAGAGAAAGTCTCCCAAGGTGAGCACAGGCATTGATTTGGATGAGTGGATTGAGGAAGCACAATCATAAATGACGGTGCGGCGCCTGTCCATCTCTGATCAGGCCTCCTTCTTCTTAATAAAGTATATCTTCTTGTTTAATCGCCTACAAGGGAAGCTAGGGAAGAGGTAAAGCACCGCCCTAGGGTAGAGCAAGAATACCCAGCGCAGATAATTTTAGTGTTGCAAGAGTTGTATGGTTGCTCACAGCTGTATGTAGCTTTGCAAGAGGCTTTCTTTTCCCGCAAGCAGCAAAAAGGACAGACTCTTCAGGAGTTCTCCTTGGCTCTGATGTGCCTGATGGAGGCAATTAAACAACGTGCACCTGGTGGCATGGCAAATGCAGAGGTTTCGCTGCGGGATCAATTTGTAGAATATGTGTTAGCTGGGTCCCTTCATAGAGAGCTAAAGCGTTTTGTGCGCGGGCAGCCTACAGCTACCTTGCTTGAAGTTAGAGCTGAAGCAATGAGGTGGGAACGGAAGGGATCCCACAGGGGTGGGAAAGGCCGTAGCTATTCTGTCCTCTCAGTGTTAGGTTTTCAGTTTGGAGTTAGGAGCAGCCCCCGGGAGGTGGTGAGTTCCCCCCAGTCGCCCGAAATGAGTGAGATGAGGGAGTCACTGAGGAATCAGCAGGACCAGCTAGAGCAGCTTACTCTGGCTATTGCTAGGCTACAGGGGTTCGCAGCAGTGCAACCACTCCCGTATAGGGGTCCAGTGGTATGTTTGAGATGCCTGCAGGCTCGTCATATTATGAGGGATTGTAATGGCCCTATTATATGCAGGCGTTGTCATCAGCCTGGCCACTTTGCCAGAGTGTGTAATGGTGTACATGCTACTCCCCGTTCCCAGACAGATAGGCTGCCTCGGCTCCGCGGTCGGAAAAGTAGTGCCCACCGAATTGCAGGGCCACAGTTCAGGTGGGGCGTCCACTGGCTCAGAGGTTGTTTCTGATGTTTTCAGAAATGTGGCTAAACTAATGTCAAAGTGCCCACATTTAGATGTGAGCTTAGTTCAGTACACCTCAGTTTTTGTGAGGACATGTGTGTGCCAACTAAAACCTTCCGCACATACAACAGCCAAAAACCCTGGTTCACAGCGAAACTCAGGCAGCTTTGTCAGACCAAGGAGGAGGCCTTCAGAAGTGGGGACAGAGTCTTGTACAACCAGGCCAGGACACTGACTAAAGAGATCAAAGCTGCAAAGAGGTGCTCTGCTGAAAAGCTAAATAACAGCTTTGCAGCCAACGACCCAGGCCCATCGCTGTGACATCTCTAGTCATGAAGTCCTTTGAAAGACTGGTGTTGGCCCACCTGAAGGACATTACAGGCACCCTGCTGGACCCCCTGCAGTTTGCATACAGGGCTAACAGATCTGTGGATGATGCAGTCAACTTGGGTCTGCATTACATCCTGCAACACCTTGACTCTCCAAGAACATATGCAAGGATCCTGTCTGTGGACTTCAACTCGGCGTTCAACAGCATCATCCCGGACATACTCAGCACCAAACTCACCCAGCTCACTGTGCCAGCCTCCACCTGTCAGTGGATCATAGACTTCCTGACTGACAGGAGTCAGCAGGTGAGGCTGATCACATCCAGCACCCGGACTATCAGCACTGGCGCCCCCCAGGGGTGTGTGCTCTCCCCACTGCTCTTCTCCCTCTACACCAACGACTGCACCTCAGGAGACCCATCTGTCAACTCCTGAAGTTCGCTGACGACACAACGGTCATCGGCCTCATCCGGGACGGTGACGAGTTTGCCTACAGACGGGAGGTTGATCAGCTGGCTCTCTGGTGCGGTCAGAACAACCTGGAGCTTAACACGCTCAAAACTGTGGAGATGACCGTGGACTTCAGGAGGAGCCCCCCCACTCTGTCCCCCATCACCATACTCAACAGCCCTGTGTCTGCTATGGAATCCTTCAGGTTCCTGGGATCCACTATATCCCAGGACCTGAAGTGGGAGCCCAACACTGACACCATCATCAAGAAGGCCCAGCAGAGGATGTACTTCCTGCGTCAGCTCAGGAAGCTCATCCTGCCTAAGTAGCTGCTGATCCACTTCTACACAGCCATCATCCAGTCTGTTCTCTGCACCTCCATCACTGTCTGATTTGGATCCGACACCAAAAAGGACAGGAGCAGACTACAACGGACAGTCAGGACTGCAGAAAAAATAATCGGTGCCAACCTGCCCTCCATTCAGGACTTATACATTTCCAGAGTCAGGAAACGGGCAGGAAACATCACTGCAGATCCATCTCACCCCGGACACAACCTGTTCCAGCTCCTCCTCTCTGGTAGGTGCTACAGAGCACTGTACGCCAAAACCAACAGACACAGAAGCAGTTTCTTCCCACAAGCCATTACTCTGATGAACAGCTGATTTCTGTGTCAGGAACAATTCCTGTGCAATAACCCAGTAACTCTGTCTCTAATCAGCCACCTGTTTACTGTTTACCACTTATTATTTATTTATTCACCATTCTCTATTTCAGTGCTGTTCATACTATGTCATATTGTATATACTGTATACCAATACACCTACTGTACCTCAGGTCTTAGGTCTTATTTTTTCCAGCATCCTTTGCACTATGTTCCACTGTGTACATGTGTACATGTATGCATGTATGTGTATGTGTACCTGTATATTCAACATGTACATAATGAGAATAATAGTTTACTCTTGCATCCTTTGCACTCTGATCACTGCACTATTTGTCAATATGTCTATATTGTTTTGTTCATAGTGTGTATATTAGTGTTGTCCATACTGTAGTTTGGGTCTGATTTTATTTTATTATTTTATTATTGTGTTATGGTATTTTTTTAAGAGTAAGCACATCATGAGCAATGTACAATCCTGAGTCAAATTTCTTGTGTGTACACATACCTGGCAATAAAGCTGATTCTGATTCTGATTAAGCGGAGTTCAGGTGCCTTGTTTGGTGGACACTGTTTCTATAGTGTCTACTGTCACCGAGAGCTTTTTCCACCAGCATTTTGAGTGGTGGGGGCCAAGACCGTGTCTATGCATGTCACTGGCTGAAGTTGATTACCTGGGTAATTTGGAGTTGGAGTTTGAGCTTTGTGGTAAGTTAATGCCTCAGTGTGGGATCCTGGTGGTGAGAGAACCCCCTGGGGATGTATCTGAACAAGCTCCTGGTGTGTCAGGGATTATGCAACATGGCCTGGCATTGTTCGAGTCCCCTCCAGTAGCTGAAGCCCCACAGTCATTGTTACAGGCATTGCAGAAGTGTCACCAAGTTGATGCACAAACCCATACCAGTGTCACAGGTAAGTTTAAGCTTCGAGGTAAGCAGGCTTATCGGATTCCAGGTGATGTGATGAAGGAAGTTGCCGCTACATGCGCCGAGCGCCTGGCCTCTGGTTTGCGTGTGCGGTTGCTTGTGTCTCTGGGTTTGGTTTGGGTGATGGGTGGCACGATTTAAATTCCCATTGTTAATGTGAGGACTCTAGAGGTGTTACTCTGTCCCCGCACCATTATTGTCAGATTGGATGTGGTTAATGTTAGCCTTCCTGCGGGGGTCACTGAGGTGCCCACTGGTGAGAATATTTCTCAAGGGGCTTTGTTGA